AGTTCTGATCGAGGCGCAGAATCTCTAACGAGTCTTTTTATGAACATTCTTGACAGGTTTCAGGGCAGAAACAAATTGATTTCGCAGAATGTTGGTGCTGCAGTTCTGACGGGCAATTGAATGGTGTGCAAGCGTGAAAGAAATTGTTCCAGAGGCAACCTTCATCCATTGTTATGCACAAAATTGAACTTAGTGTTTTCTGTCTGTGTCATTTATTAGCGAACACTGAACACGGGTTTGTGGCATTTTTCACATCATCAGAAAGAACTAATTTATCGGACAAATTCTCCACAAACGGTTCCCAAGTCTTGCCCCTACAAGGTGGAATTTCTCTAGTCGAGTAGTTCAGACACTATCCAAAACTTTGAGAATGATTTGAAGCTATTCTGGAATCATGTGGCGAGTTTGATAATGTGGGTATAGGAGAGGCAGTCCGATGTCTTCAGGATTTATAATCAGCTTTGTGCAGTGTCATTCAGCAAGTTGCTGCAACTTCTACAAAGCTACTGCTGCTAGGCAGTAGGGCTTCCTGCCAAAGTTACAAGACTGTAATTTTTTTATTTTTTTTTTTATTTTTTTGCTGAATTTATTTGAAAACATTTTGTCACACACAGATACGGTTTTCAACGTATTACAATCTAAGTATTTAGACCTTGCGTTTTGTGCAAAATAAATTGAAAATTTAAAGATTTTTTTAAAATTTCGAAACGAAACAATAGCTTCCAGAAAATTTGGGGAGAAATAGGTCTTGTGACCCGCCGCGCAAGAGACGAAGACTGAACGATGAATTAACGGCATAGGAGGAATTTAAGAGGCTGGAAGTATTTGACACCATAATGTTACTACTTAAATCGCGTTTTGATTCTTCGGCAGATTTGAATTTTTTGGAACTTCTCGAGTGCTCAAAATTTCCTGCATATTCACAAAATTTTCCAGAAAAGCAACTTTTATAATTAGAGAAAATTTATTATAAATATTTCGTTTTTGCGAAACCGAAAACTGAGCTTAAGGGAATTTATGCTTATGAACATTTCGTGGGAAAGAATGTGAAGGAAATCCAAGAGTTTCTTATCTCAAAAGGACTAAACAGGGGACTAAAACAAGCTCATAAGTTCTGTGAATTGGTATGAGTCACCCCTGCAACAGCATCGTCTGTCGAACAATCTTACTCAGCTTTGAAACGAATCAAAACCTTTCGGAGAAACTCCCAAAGCCAAGGACGTCTTACCGCACTTGCAATGATGTCGATAGAGAAAGATTTGCTTGACAAAATAAAAACGGACCACGGCTTTTTCGACAAGGAGACGAATAAATTCTGTAAAAAGAATAGGAGAATGGAGTTTGCTTTCAAGTAACGGGTAAGTGTAACAATCACATAGTAATATTGTTGTTAATATTATAATTGACATTCCTCTAATTCACGGCTAAAGATGATATCAGTCGTTTGGTTATAAAGTCCACTCCGGGTTGACACCAGCTTCCTAAGGAGCAGATCTAGGGATTATACATGCCTCTTCAATTCTTAGCGCAAAATGTGAACTATTATTATTTAATGATTTCTGTGATCACCCCATAATGTTAAGATAGCCTATTAACAAAAACAAATGTGCTAATGTACATTATTACATGCCTTACATCGAAATTCAGGATACACCATTAGCAACTGGCAAGAGTACGTGGCAAGCCCGAATAGCTAGCAGAGACCAAAGGAAATAGAAAACTAATACGGGAAAGTCTGTGCCATTCTGCAGCACCTCTAGTTACATTCAAGCTATGGGTACCGTAGTAGAAATGTATGTAATGCTGCGCGAAAAAAACACAAATTTTTGGCAGAACATTTTTTATTACAGGGCCCTGGCAACGAAAAGTCTAGTTGCTAAATTTAAGAGAAAATTCCTCTAACACGTGAATCCATGTTATGTGGATCCTTGATACCGAAAAATCGATTGACGGAAAACGACCGTCAGTCTGTGATCAACGCTAGCGACTAAACCGATTCTCTCCAAAATATATATAAGGCCCTGGAACATCAAAAAAAGGACCTCCATCGTTTTGGATTTTAAATTATGTTACTGGATAGTCTGAAGGACGTTTAAGAGTGCAGATCCCATGTTCGTTGAAAACTGATTTTTCTAAAATTGCAGAAAACCAAACTTCCTACAACTATAATTAACAAACGCGTCTTCCTACAACTACAATTATGAAGATGTTTTCCCTTTTGAAATGTTCCTTAAAAATAGATTTTCAAAGATCACGTACAATTTTTTCGACAATTTGAGTATTTTTCGTGTGATTTTGGGTGAAATATAGGCATTTTTAGTCTAATTTAAACATTTTTCCTTCAAAAACAACTCAGTTTTTGATTTAATTTTGTTGTTGGATAGTGTGAAAGATGTCCAGGAGAATGGTACAGGTCTCACGTTCGTTAAAATGCTCTAATTGTTCGATAATTAAAAAATCCGAATTTTTTCAGCATCTTCCTACAACTATAATTACGAAGATATTTTTTCATAATGAAATGTGTTCATTAAAAAAAATAATTAAAAATCACATCTATTTTTCAAAACCGAGTAGATTTTTGCGAAATTTTGTCAAACATAGGTAATTTTTATTTCCTTTAAACAATTTTTCGTGAAAATCGACATTTTTTAATAAATTTAAACCTTAGATGACGTAAAGGACGCTTAAGTGAATGGTTCAGGCCATACATGTTCGTTGACATGTCTAATTTTTTGATAATGTAAATAATTTTTAAAAATTCGCCGTCTTCCTATAACTACAAGTGTGAAAACAAATGTTTTCTTGATGAATTGTGTTCATCAAAAACCTCTTCAAAGGTCATGCTGGATTTTTCAAAATTAGTATTTTTTGTGTATTTTGGGGACAGAGCCCGCTCCGAATTTACTACGCTTCGTGAACGTAATTCTAGGCAGTTGGATGCTTCGTAAGTGAGAATTTATATATTATTTGATAATTCTTAGTTCGATCGTACATTCGAGCCAAAGAGTATATATATATATATATATATAAAAATATATATGCATTCGAGCTTCTTTGATACATTTACAAATTAGCCTTTTAGAAATTATTAAAACTCAATTTGGAATATATGAAATAAAAATTGCTAGTCTTAATATCAGATTAAAATACAACAATGGCCCGGGAGCTAATATCTGTGTATTATGTCTTATTGTTGGGAAATTATTTAGATGTATGAAAAGCAGGTATATTAGTCAAATGTGTTGATATTTTCTTAAAAATATTTAGTTTTTACACCAAATGTTCTATTTGTAATGAGTTTTACAAAAAATTATCACACGTATTAATTCGGAGAGAAATTGTGGTATAAATAGTATTACATAATTATTAATAAAACTGAGAAAGTACGTGCTGTTTTAGTTTCACTAGTTTAAAATTCAAAGCCTTGAATGAAAGCCACACTTCCCATATGAGAGCGATGGAGAGTTTAGCAAGAAAGTTAATGATTGATATATTTCCGCGCGTGTCAACTAAGGTTCCTAAGTGTAGTGCATGTTTTATCGCGTGAAGTGGCGATGATTTTACCCAGCTGGACGGCGAAATGCGGCACTGATCTACAAGTCGACTTGGGGGAGGATTTCCCCAACCAGTTCAACCACAAGTCAGCGGGGACAAGCTCTAAGCTTCCATTTATGGTAGTGTAATTATGTGTGTGTAAGGGCCAGAATAAGACAAAGGGGAAGGAAATATCACGCGCAGTCCGTGACCTGTTTGATCAGATACTGCTCCGGTATTCGTGTAGTGTTGATCGAGAAGCCATGAAAGACTATCGATCAGAGCAGCCAGATGCTAGATTTCTCCTCCAAACAGCGGATGAATTTGTCCTGCCACCGTCGGGTCGTAGGACCTCCTGGTTAGAGGCACTGCAGTGATATCAATTGATGCCCTGAGCCACCTACCCTGGTAAGAAATTTAAAGAGAAAATGTTTTTTCTGTCGAAAATTCGCCGTTTTCGAAGTACTTCGTAACGTGAGAAAGTAAAAAATTAAAAAAAGAATGCTAGTGGTTCTGCTGAATGGCAGAGACTTTCTCATATTAGATAGTTTTCTCATTTCTTTGGTCTGGGCTTTTTCGATATTGTCTCATCCTCTTATTAGCTGCCATCTACCGCCGCCCGAAGTATATTTTTATGAAATTTTCTCAATTTTTCTGTTTCTTCGTGAACTAAATATTACTTTAAGACTTAAAGAAGAGTAAAACCTTGTCCTATATGTAAATTTTCGTTCAAAAATTTAGTCTTTTTAACTAGTGGTGCTACTAAAGTACATACTTTCTTGCATTAATTCTAAAAGCTCCACAAAATTACATTACTACATAACCAGCAAAAGTGTTGCCAAGCATTTAATTATATTTCTGCTCCAAGACTCGATTTCACATCGTTATAGTTGACGTCCTGACACTCATACCACTACGCCACAGAAGTGCTTCATGGGACCTTTAACCAATAAATAAGTAGTAGAAACTCCCAAAGCCTGCAGTTTATTTACATAAAATTCAGGGAATGTGAATTATGGAGAAAATTAGCTGAATGGTTTAGGCTCTAGCGTTAACCACTATGGACAGACGTTGAGCTGTCAATCTATTTTTCGGTAGCAAGAACCATCGAAACATGGATTCTGGCTACCCCACGAGTTAGAGGATTTTTTTTTCCTAAATTTAGTGCCAGGATGTATCTACTCTTTGGATCATTATGAGTGATATGATGTAGGAGTCATCATTAGTCAAATATGGTGTATGTGGGACGAAGTGCAATTGTGCACGTCTTCTTGAGGAAGAGATTCCATATACTCCCTTTTATCACAAACAATTATGAATAGAGGTAGAAAAGAGCATTTTAACTTTTCTATTCCACTCCTAAAACCAATAGTGTAACTATATACATTCAAAATGCACCAATCAGGTCAGTGTATCTCAAAAAGTTTATTGCTTTTTCTATCCAATTTTTCTTACAGCTACTCCAACTAATCATAAACTGTAACTCCTGTATCTTAGGAGGTGGTCCATTGATCACTGTGTCAAAGTCCAATAAACCACATCGCTCCCTCTTTGATTATAACATAGTTCTCAGTTATTTTCAATATTTGGCATATTTTGGAACTCTGTTGGACATAATTTCATTTGTGGAATAGTCCTATACCACTTGTGCTTTGAAAATTTTCAGATAAATCCCCTTCTTGCTTAACAAGTTAGAGATTTATCAATAATTTCCAAAACACTCCTGGTATTATGTATGTTAAATGTTTGCTACTAAGTAACAGAACTGCATGGGCAAATATCTTCAGATTTGATTTCAATATATTACACATGGCTGAAAGAGAGTACCCTTTGCAATTATGCACTTGTGTTTACGCAACTAAATGCTCTTTTGGTCACCAATAAAATAAATACCAATTAAATGAATGTTAAATTCCTTATAATGCAATTACTATGTAAAGCTGGCTGTTTTCTTTTACACATGAAGTAAAATGTAGCAAGAAATATTCCGATAATGAAAAATATAATAAAATTTATCAAAGTAACTACATTCTTCAATTTTTTTTAACACTTAATGATTTATTAAAAAAAGATACAGAATCGAGTATATTAATATTAAACATATGGCTCCTAGAAAATTTATTATAATATTTAAATTTCACTGACATTTGTTACTTTCAGATGTTCAAGCTCTATTTTCAGAACAGATGCAAAAATCAAATAGAATGAAAACATATTTACATCAAAACAACACTGTTACCATGTTTCTAGAGACCTGTAAGCGAATTGAAGCTATGTTTTTTGCAGGTGCAATCGAGCAGCTTTCTTCAGCTTCTTTGCTTTAATTTTCTTTAACTTTCTTTTGGCATTGACTAAGGAAATGTTTTTTGCAACTGCAGGCCAATTTACTTTTTCTTGAACATATGGTGAGTGAACAAATGTTTTTTTGAGCACCTCTGAGCCCTTAACATTCTCTACAAACAATGTCCACGAAATATGAGAGGGCATAACCAATTCAACGCATGAATCCTTTTGCCAAGGCAGGATTCCAAGAGGGCAGGTGGCCCAATCATACTCTGGAGAAGAAAAAAACAAACAAAACATTACTGAATACCAAACACTCATCCATTACCAGAAGTAATGTGACACTGAAAAAAGACATTGTGTGATCCAATATACACAACTTAATCTTTGTAAAGTGCTACCTATTATCAGTACCACTATGAAGTTTAACAAAAAGATCATAGTTTAAATTTTGAGTAGATACATTACAGAAAGAGAGAGTGAAGGGGGATAGAGAGAGAGTGAAAGGGGGAGAGAATGAGAGTGATTGACCGACACCACACGCACAGCATGTAGGCATGTAGTTGGATTCATTGTCACTACATAAAACACATGTTTCTTAAGTTCTTTTTGCAGTGTTTTGTGATACATAATTCAGTGGTTGAAACAGTGTTGTCTCATGGTATTGCGTGTTTTCACGTAAGTGATTTAAAAAAAAAAAAAATTTGTTCCAATTCTGATAGAGCATTTATATGAAGAATGTGATATTGATGTTGATGATCCTACAAATTCAATTTCCAGCTCCAGCATTCATCTGTACACTATGAACTAAGACACATTATGAAGTTAAAGATCCAGAATTAATTTATGTTCCACTGTTCATGGAAGTAATATAATTCACTGGAGATTTTAGGCAAATGTTCCTTGCTCAAGTGAAGTCCATATCCTGAAATTCCACAATCTAAATTGATTTGTTGATTAAATGAACTAGGAGCTGGTACACTACAACCTAATAATTATTTTGACCGTATTTTTTAAAACTCTAACAAATAAGCGAAGCATCAACGTGTATTTCAGATTGCAGTGATGTCTATAGAAAGCTATTTTAAACATACTTAATTCCTTTTCATTACAATTCTTTAATTGAATTGTTTAATAGGAATTTTTAAAATGTTCCTCATCAGTTGAGCAACTTCTGCTGCTACAGTCATAAATAATTAGTGTGTTCTAACCTATGCTTATCTTCTTAGGTTGAGACCAAAGTTTTTAAATTTATAAGTGATTAGGATGGAGTGACAAAGTTTAGAGGCATTATTAAGTTCCAATGAAGATTTATATTTACATTAAACATCCAGAACCTACTAGGAAATTTGATACATTGTCATACTTTTTAAAAAGCATAAAGACTTTCATTATGTCGAAGCATGAGAGAGAAGGAAATTTGACATGATTTCAATTTAACTTCATGTGTATAAAAGGAACCCTTCAATGCAGAGTCTTGGTAGAATGTGGTAGCATTCCATTGCAGATAAAAGGTAAGATCCTGTATGTGCTATTAAGGTAGCAGGTAGCCAGCCCCAAGTAGCTAAGTAAGTGAACCCTCCAGCTCCACATGGCATCCCACCTTCCTTGGTGGGAACCTCCCAGGACATAAATAAGGAGAGTTGAAATAACATGTCCTCTCAAGACACAGCATTCCACACTGAAGGTAGAAAATAATGAAACAATTACCTGAAGCATACTCCAATGGTTCTGATGTTACACCAATATTTTCTCCAAAAAAAATTTTTTTAGATACTCCTTTTCCACTTATTTTGTACAAGTCTTCTACTGTGTGAATAACTTTATTGGATTTAACAGTATGTAAATTTGTAGGTTCCATCCAAATAGAAAGTAATTCTTTTAGAAGACACTTTGAAGTATCCGGTATCACTGGATTTGCAACATTCAGTAAACTAAAAATAATGACGAATTAAAATTTGCAACAAACAACAAAAAATATTAATACACTCAGATGGGTAAAGAAAGGGATATGGCTGACAGGGTTGCATTAATTAAAATTTTAATGCTTAGATTGTCCCTTGTGCTAGGGACTGATGCCATTAAATTTTTGCTCTTAAATAGATGATTATGTAATGCTGCTTTCTTTTAAACCTTCAATGATGAAAGTATATTTGTTTTTCTAAATGTAAACTATTCCTCATAACAGGTTTGTCAAAGAAGACCCGAAATCGTGGTCTCTGAAATACTTTTCCACAATGTTGGTGACACTGCCATTTTCACACAAACATTTTTGTTATGATACATGGACCCTGGCACTCGCCACACAATACAGTACTTATCACGTTCATTGAAAATTGAAAAAAATTCACATTTTTTCGGCGTCTTCCCGCAACTACAATTTTTTCCCCGCATATAGGCAAACTCTGATCATGCGTGCATCCTGCTTCAGCAGGTGAAAGTACGTTTATCTGGGGTGATCAGTATTTTGTTGAATCCCGGTTGTTAGCCCTGACGATATGAATAATGAGATGGTGAGGAGATGATGATGATGATGATGATGATGATGATGAGGGATGAAAGGACGGCATGCATATATAGACATACACAAATACACCCATGCCCGCGACAGACTCGAACCCGCAGTCTTCTGGTCTGAGATAGCTATGGCACTACTGCCCTAATGATCTCTGCCAACTTGACCAGCCAATTATGAAAATAAACTATTTTCTTAATGAAAAATGTTCATGAACAACAGATCTAAAAATTATGTCACATTCAATTTTTCTAAAACATGAATATTTTGTGTGAAGTTTTGTGACATTTTTATTTTCTTTACACCATTTTTTTCTTAAAAACAACACAACATTTTTTAATCAAATGTGAACCTTATATACCATAAAGGATGCTTAAGAGAAATCATCTTTCTTTAGTGTATGATATACAAATGATTATAAAGCTTTACATAATATATTGATGATAAATTGTAACTATATTCAAAGTCAAAATATTACTGTGTGATACAACAATGCGTACACGTGTATAATAAACTCAAAAATAAATGCATAGAACTGTTGCAATCACTTTCAATATATATTTAACGTCATGGTGTTTTAAATGCAGGGAAATGGTAAAATGGTTTTAATTTTTTTATTTTTTAACTACAGTCCGGCAGTAGGAAAAAATCGGAAATTTGTGTTGTGAGAACTTTTGAGATTTTTTGAGCCTGTACTAGAGTATTAAGATGCAGTAAAAATTAATTATTTTTTAATTTTTTTTGCGTTTGATTTTGGTACTGATAAACTATCAAAAATGTTTTTTTCTTATTTTTGAATCACATAAAATAGTGATGAAATTAAAAAAAAACAACAGGTTTTGGAACAGTGTGGGTATTGGAATAGGGCATAACAATAGTAACAATTAACAATATTAACCTTTTAACAATATTAATTTTATCTCAGAGTTGAAGTGTAACTACTCCCATGTCATTTGGATTAAGGTACTTTTTACCATCTTATCCTGGAGGTATCCTTTAAGCACATATTGCATGATTATTTCCACAGAAATAATTTTAAAATTATTTGGATTGAAAACCAAGGATAGACCTTTCTTTCGCCACAATGCCTTATGAAGCTCCTGGATGGGCTCTACCCTTCTTCAACGCAAACGGGTTAACAATAAGTAAAAGTATGTACAGTAATAAACACTCACCTCGATAGAAACAGAGTTGTAAATTCATTTGGATTAAGAACAGCAAATTTCACATCGGCCACTGGACATGAATTTCCCTTGGGGTCATTAATTAAGGCAAGAAATCCATCTTTTAAATGAACATTTTGCTTGTTAAATTTTTGAATGACTTTTACAGGTACATCTATTTTTGGCTTTAATGTGTCTGCTCTTTTCATTCGAGTGTCCTTATCTAATTCAATTATATTGTGTGGTGATGCCTTTGCCATAATAGCCTGAGATTTTGCCATGCTAATACAAAGCTGATTAATCCACAGTGCCATGATTAATTGGCGGTGTTTACATTTCTCTTCTTTTAAAAGAATGATCAATTTGTGTACCAATGTAGGAAATAAGCCAAAATCTTCTTGAAGCGGTATTAAAAAGTCCTGCCAAAACTGGCAAAGCCAATGCAATATTGTCTCATTTGTTAATTCTGAAAATTCACCAAAAATTACATTAAGTCAGTAATTTTAAATGAGATTCTTGATACTGTATAAGCATTCCGATAAAACAAATTCAAAAGTTTATTTAGAAGATCCTTTAAAAGTAGAACAGAAATAATGTCAATAGTTGAAAAATGCTTCAAATGAAAACTATCTTACAAGATTAAATTAAGTATTTAAAACTACTATCTTTTTTTTTTACCTTCTTGATTTCCATCAATAAGAAATTTGACTGGTGGTATGAATGACTCGCTTTCCAGTATTAATGCAAGTAACTTTTCTAATTTGGAATGATCTGCCTTGATAGCTTGGAACAATTTGTCTCTTACACGTTTAATAATGTTCTTCAACATACCAGTATTTTCTTTCCATATATCACTTTCTTTAGTATGTGATTCAATTTTTTTATGCAGTAATTGCATTACAAGGAGCCTGTGAAAAAAAAAAAAAAAAAAAAAAAAAAAAAAAAAAAAAAAAAATGATATGAAAGTGGTTTTTTTTGATATTATTATAAGATCATTATATTGAGAATTATCATGTGGTTCTAAATAGTTATTTCAATATTCTGCATACAAACATAAATAACCTGCTGTTACTCCTCTTTTATGTTTTAATCTACAATGAATGCAACCTCACACACAGTTAAAATAATTTTGAAAAACATTTCCTAATTATTTACCAAAAAGCAAGTATCCGTCACAGAATTTGGGGGGGGGGGATGAATTTCGATGATGTAGAAGCAGAAGAGGTAGGAATATGAGATAGGGTAGAAATATGAGATTGCAAGGTCTTAGCCTGTGTATAGTGATGACATTTGTTGAGTGATTGGAGAAATACTTGGTCTAGCATCATCATTGCGTTCGCTCCATGGCCAGTCACTTCAGTCTTCAAAGTTTCCCAATGTGAACTTTTGCCATTAGTAGAGCTGTGGAAAGTTTTTAGAGCCCTGCTCTGAACTGCAATTTACTTTGGCGTATCTTGTGATTTTCCAATAAAAAACATTATTTTTCGGGAAAAAAGCTCTTTATTCCAGGGACCTGGTAATGAAAAGTGGATAAATTCCGCTGCTAAACGTAGAAGAAAAAATTCTTTAACACATAGAGCAAAAGACGCTTAAGAGATGATACAGGCCTCACGTTTGTTTAAAATCTGATTTTTCGAAAATTGCGAAAATTCAAATTTTTTTTCAGTGTGTTCATACAACTAAAGTATTAAAGATAGAGGTTTTTTTCTCTCAATGTAATCTGTTCCTTTCCATGTAATTTCGAGTAGTTTAAGACTCGCTGAGACAAGTTCAAAGTGCAGGACTGTTCTTTCAACATGTGGTAGTGCAGTGCAGGTAAAGAATGTGAAGTATGTCAAAGGGGAGAGGAAGAAACATTTTGCATAAGGCCTGTGGACCCTTTGTAAAGGTACAGTTCCAGCATTCACCTACAATTGGTTGGAAAAACCACAAAAAAAATTCTTATCAGGGCACACAGCTACTAGAATTTTCCTCCGGTCAGTGTCAGCCACTAGCCATGTTGATTTAGCAATTTAACTCCCAGGTCTTGTCACTGCACCGAATGTTGCACAAAGATCAGCCTGGAAAAGCTAAAGGATGATAAACGGGAAAGGGAAGACATGGGAATGCTATATTTTGCTAAATGTAATGTAGTTTCATCTATGTACAATCCAAGTATTTCAGGATGAAAGGCTGATTTGAATGGCCATTTCAATTTTCTGGAGCTAATACACGGTTTGCGTATCATATCAATGCCATTCCAATACTCTTTATGGTATCAGGTGAAAAGTATATCAATACGTGTTTTTCTGTTAAAACATGAACACTTTCTTGCTGCATTACATTCCTTTCTCTATAAGAAGTACACAGTAATGTAAAGACAAATAACATGATGGGTGTCTTACCTTAATTTCTCATCAGATATATCATCAATATTCTTATAATTGTTGATTTCATACATTTTCACAGCCTGCCAAACATCCAAATATTCTTCAACACGCTTATCACTAAAATGTTCTGTGTTTGAGACAACAAGTTCAGGTGCAATTGCAATGTCTTTCCAATAATTTTCCTGTAAGAAAAACAAAAGCAAATATTACAAACATCCCACAACAACAATTGCCTACGTCTAATGACTCAATCAACAAATTATGCACACAATCTGAACAAATGAACAAAACTTACATTCAACCACTCTAGAGCAAAATTAACTGCCATACGAAGAACTTCAAGCGAGGGCAAGTTAGTACTGTGAGCACTATCATGGCGCAGGAGCACCAACCAGTTAGGGATATTCAATTTGCTAGCCATTGAATACATTGTATCACCTACTGCTTTTGCTACATTGGAAACATGATTTAAAAATCTGAAAAGAAAAAATGAATATAAAAAGCAATGAAAAGAATAAATTTAAGTAAATCAAAAATATCTTGAAAATTTTCTCTTGTTCTCTTATTCGTAAAAGCATTCTGACTAGCGAACATGTTTTAACCTTCAATTGAGGTCTATTCCAGAATAAGAGTCGATGGCACAACTGGAAAAAAGGTAATCAAAAATTTTACTGTTGAATATATTATTTTAACAACCTTCCAAACACTGGTTACAAACTTATTTTTAACACCCAATATATTCTAGGTTAGAACTAAAGTTTTTTTAAAAATAAAATAGAAAATTTGTAATTTTTTTTTGAATTTTTACTTATAATATGTTATGTGCTTTTGTGTCCAAAAATAACCAATGGTTCAATAATTAATAGGCTGTTATTATATATGCTTTAGTCCATGAAATCATTCTTGTTAAAGCTCATTAAGAATGAATTCTATCAATTCACAGTCCAGCTGACAGGAATTTGAATAAGAACCGAACATGATTTTGTTTCAGTTTGCTGGCTCCAGCAAAAGGAACAACTTTAAGGTCAATGTCTTTCAGATCTTGAATGCTACTTTTTATGTAAGAAAATGTGATGTATGAAGGCACATATGAATTAGAGCACAGTCGTCCACCTGATATGGTGTACTTCATCATAACATATTCTTTGACTCTGTATTTTGAAGATTTAAGAATAGAAGAAACAGAAGAAAATAAGGTGGCAAGAGCTGTCTCCCACATCCTTGTCCATAGAAAGCTGAAAAGGAAATAGACAGACAGGTAACTATAGCTTTTAACCATGGAGTTGTATATCCAATTCTGTCCAAATTTTTTATTGTGTTCCGAATGAGCCCAAAGTTGTGGTCACACCTAACAAAATGTCCATGCACAGGATAAAAAAAGTTATACAAGAATGAGGCAACTGAATTTCCATTTTTACTAGAATGAATTTGCATATGTCAGTAGAAATACGATGAATCATTGTTATGAACGTGAATATTAAATATATAGATCCAAAGCATCCTTCTGTAAAATTGGCTGTCAACATTGCGTTGCGGGACAGGACAGTTTGGACTGCACTCAAACTCTAACACCAGATGAGATGACCTTCACTATTACTTTCTCTTAAAGATAAAATCTTTTTCCAGTTTTGAGTTTGTGAGCTTTCCGTTTGTGAATCTTATAGACAACTCTCTATGGGTCATTAGGATCTCGGGTGATTTCTTCTGCACCCTCAGCACAAAAGTCCCAATTATCAGTTTTAGACTTTTCAAATACATAGTTAAAAAGCTCTTTGAACATTTTAACACATGATTTCAAAATTGATATCAGCAATCTGAAGACTTATGGATTGAATACCTTTATGAACTTTCAGAATATTTTCCAACCAACACACTTAATAAATGACTCCACACATTGCTCTTCTTCTTCCAGTAGCATAATTCATCTCTTTTTCATAACAGGAGAATTTATGATAATGAATAGAGACTGGAATAATATGTAGAATGTTGAAATATGAAGTAAATATGAAAAATCTAACAAAATATGTTATTAAAATGCAATAATTATAAATCTCATTTATAAAACATTTCCTAAACAAATTTTAAAATGCACTTTGCCCTAAAAAAGTTTCCCGTCAGTAGTAAAAGCTTCATTTATTTCTATCCACAATTGTAATTTAGCAGCACAGACTATAAGCAATAGAAGCCATTGTACAAACTAGTGCTCTCTACAACCAGCAAACAATTACTGCAGCATGCAGCATTCTCATCGAAGTGTTACAAGTCAGCAATAGTCAAAGTTTCTCAGCTTACAGGTAATGAAAAGCAGTGTCAGTGATGCTTTCACTCCTAATGGTGAAAATGATCTCAGTTACTGACGCGCATTTCCCACCATCAAAATAATGCCTTTGAAATGCCGCCATCAGACTATGAAAATATTCAACCGTTCCTTTACATACTAATAGTGTACTTCACTTAGACACTAACAGTAAAAATGTAGAAACAATTTTTTTCTTCTTCAAAAATAAGTTTCTTAAAAAATAAGCACTAAAAGTAATTAACTGATAGAATAAAAAAAAATACTTTGAGGAAATAGCAAAATATGGAACCATACATATTTAGCATAATACCAAATCTGTTAAAAATGTAATGAAAAAATTGGTTATTGTGTTATAACAGCAATGATTCTCCAAGATTACAATTTTGAGAACTGTATGAAGAAAAACAATTCTGTTCCTATTACTAGTATTTAGAGTGATGGTGCATTACATCCAACCATGAATGCTATTGTTGACCCAATTATAGAATTCAATTTCAAACCTATAAACTCCTATCACCTCATATGTTCTACGAAGTTCCAAGTTGACTGGTGTAGCTAGTGATGGTATTTATGGACAAATGGTCTTGTTCTGTATTCTCTATTGTCACGATATTCTTGTACATATTATCAATCATATTTGCGAATGGAGAGTTTCCATTGGTTGGAAAGGTGGACTAATGAGATCTATTTCAAAGTCAAATAAGCTCAAGTTATTGAAGGACCTTGTCACAATGCTTCCATTTCCCTCTAAAATTGTAGAATTATCTGAAACAAACAGCATTTTAGTCAAGTATAGTGCTTCAAATGCACTTTTCTTTCTGGTTTATCTGGTTCTAACTAATTTTGATAAAGGCAACTGTTCTACCGTAGTTTCTCCAGACTAGTCCAAGGCTTTCGATTCCATGAATCATGGTATTTTATCCTTAAATTGAAAGCAAATGGTTGTTTTGTCTCCGCTATAAAATTCTTTACCGGTTCGGTTGATATAGTACAGAGTCGACCTATCATTGCAGGGGACCAAAGAATTTCTGCACCTATTCATATCAAGTCAGGGGTACCACACGGCTCAATTTTGGGTCTGACCGGCTTTAATTTATATGTGGCCTATATGCATAATTTAGACTTGTCGTCTACTATCCGCATATGCATGCTGATGACACCCAGCTATTCTTAGCATTCTTACTAGAGTACTTTAACTTAGCACTGAGTATCCTCAAGGAAGGCATGAAAATCTGAGTGGTCAAATTTAAAGTCTTGTTTTAAATCCGTCTCAAACTCCTTTCATCATTATGGACCCTACTGAACATCTTTGTAACACCAGAATTATATCAATTGATATTGATGGTACACATGTACTGTCAATGCCACACATAATTGAGGTTTCATTCTTGATTCATCTTGGAAGTTTTATCGACATATCTAAACTATGTTCAACAGCATATGTCCAATTGAGAACTTGATAATTGCTTAGAAAATTTTTACCAACTAAGCTTAAGTAGTATTTGACGGATTCTTTAATTCTATGCCTTTTTAACTTTGTGGATACTGCCTATGGCCAAGGATTGAAAACCCTTCAGATGTTCTGCATTGAAGGTGTGCAAAATACGTGTCAGATTCTGTTACGACTTCAGAAAGTACGACCACATATCTCTGGCAATATAGAATTCAGGTTGGCTGTCAATGAGGCACAGAATCTGGCTACATATCTTTACACTTGTTAACAAAGTTCTTGAAACTAGCAACCCACCTTATCTTTGTGATCAAGTAATTTCTTGGAAGACTGGTATACTAGGAAGTCATTCTGCACCAGATCATCATTTAAGTTAACAGAATATCTAATAGTTAAGATTTGACCCGTCAAAATGTATGGTTTTTCAACTGGTCGGACACCAATCCAGGTTAATAAAATAACAATGGATGTATAGGTTCAGAATAATATTTGATTTATGGGATAGAATTGTATGCTTTGAAATTTGTTGTTGGATGTAAAGGGTAAAATAAATAGGATGGCAATAAATGCAACCATGGCAAATAACTCCTCCTAATTTACTGAGAATTGATCATAAAATGGCATAGGCAAATAGAAAATATCATTCAGGTTGAATATGAAAAGGATTTACAAAAGGATTAGCTGCGGTACAATTGTCAGGATCTCCTAATAAATAAGGGATTGCGAGTGATAAAATAGTTAAAAGTATTAGTAATATTAATAATCCTATAATGTCCTTGGAAGTATTGTGTGGATGGAATTGAATTTTACCTAGATTTCAATGAATTCCTATTGGATTATTTGAGCCTGTTTGATGGAGACATAATAGATGAATTGTTACGAATGCTGCTACAATAATTGGAATTATGAAATGAAATGTGAAGAATCGAGTTAATGTGGTATTATTTACTGCAAAACATCCCCAAAATCATTGTACTAAATCAGTCCCTAGATAGGGAATTGCTGATAATAGATTGTTATTAACAGTGTGCCCTTAGAATGACTTTTGTTTTCATGGTAACACGTAACCAATAAAGACAGCAGCTATTACTAAAAATAAGATGAAGTTGCCTACTATTCAAGTGTGTATTAGATTTTAAGAACCATTATATATCCCACATCCTACATGGATATAGAGGCAGATGAAAAAGAATGATGCTCCATTAGCATATAGTGATCATAATAGTCATGATAAGCAATTTGATAAATTTATAATTGATATTATTATAATAGATAGGATGAAATTAATTATTATGGTATTTATGGGTTATTGAAATATTTCCTTGGATGCCAAGCTTGTAATATAAATAAATACATAATACTAATATTCCTTGAATGTTTGTATAATAATTAATAAGGTGATGGCTAGGGGGTGATTTATTATAATAAAAAAGATTAATTGTTAATATTATAAAGATATTAGAATAGTTTAAGTAAAATATTAAATTTGGTAATTAGTGATAGATATAAAATATTTCTTTGAAGTTTTAAAAGATATTGTTAATTTTGATTTACAAGACCAATCTTTTATATTAACTATTAAACCTTAAATGTTTGCTTTGTTTGTTTAGTAACAATTATATTTTGTTAATTTAGTGGTATGTGAATTTATTGTTCTAAGCAAAAACATTTATTGATTATTTTATTGAGTTTAGAATATATAGATTTTTGTTGTTGTTGTTGTTGTT